TTTCTCACGTCTCGGATGATCATCCCTCACCGGGAAAGAAAAATACGTGCGTCCGTAACGCTTTTCGTTGCCATGGCAACCGTGTAACCATCACAGCATTGTCTTCCAACTATCAAACGATCAAATGTGGCTTCACTGCTTACCGTCCGACGTAGAATAGAGCTGTAAGCACAACAGAGTGTGTAAATATTAAATGCTACACAAAACTTTTTCTCTCTCTATCGCAAAACGGTCATCACCATGTCAGCAAGCCACCAAGAATTCTTTCCACGTCCATCTGATGCAGAAAACTTGCGAATTTTATCATGCTTTTGGTTCAAGTTCTGGTGAGTGACGAGGTTGCGTAAGGAACAGCACACGGGAATAGCGGATGAGGCAGGGTTGATTATGACCGGTCACACAAAACGAGTATCTAGGGATAGAACGCCGTACAGACTTTCACTGAAACTCTTCCCAACATTTTGTTTTGAGGAGCTGCGGTTTCAAGTAATGCATGTGGGATAGCTAACTATGTACGCCATGGTTAGTCCCTTAGCATGTATTGCTTTTAATTGCTGTTCCAAGTGATGCATGTGGAATAACTATGTATGTGACGCCATGCTTAGTTCCTCAGCATGTATTGCGATCTTTTTTTTCTCACATATTGAGTATTGCCATGAATACGGGTATTTCGTAAAGTATATAAGTAAGACGAAGTTGCTATCACGAATTTAAACAGCTTCCAAGCCTACCAAGTATGTTTTTTTGTTGCTTTGATACGTAGAAGCATTGCACTGACTGATGATGTTGACAACGGTTGGTTAAATATGAAAGTCTTGTTTTACTATTTGCACTAGTAGATCCTGGATACAAGAATGATGAAATACGGGAGAGGTAATGTAGTTGTGTGAAAAATGGCTATCAATTTTTAAATTTAAATGATGAAGCTATGCTACAGAATGGCACTGTCGTATCTGTCGGTAGTATTAGCCACAAGAAGAATGACGGTGTTAAGTGCAACAGCAACGCTTTTGGGACTGTGTCAGTGCAGCGAATAGTTGATGATCTACTTGGTTAGTACACTGGGTATAAGCTTAAAATCTGGAATCTATGTACGAAACCATGTGAGTAAGAACTGTTGGGGCAAAAGAAAAGGCGGATTGGTAAATTAAGACGGCTTGTAGATAAGATATCAGAGATGGATAAAACTGAACATTGCTTGTTGACTCAACTTTTATTTGTAAGTTAGCTATCAATTGAAATATGAAAGCGTCCTGTGGCACATTTGGTTGTACTGTCATGCCCTCAAATCATACACTTTTCTATTACTTCATTACTTATGGCTCTCATTGTCCTCCACTTGACTCGAAGTGTGTCGTTCCGCACATAACAAACCCACTATACTAAGTTCAAATAATTTGCATTTGATGCCTATCTTTGTCTTTTTCCTCAATAATTCTTTTATTTCTTTTTAACCATTCCTTTTCTTAATTGTAATACCTTGACTTCCCTTTTCCCTTTTTCCTATTTGAAAAACATCGGACGATATAAAAGGAACAACGTTGTAAAAGCGTATCTTGGTCAGCACTATTGCGAAACCATCACAACGTAACCACTCAAGGTTGATCAAATCATGTAGATTCCCATGTCAAATAAAGAACAAAGCCGCTGCATTAGAGGGCGACTCGGCTGGCTGTTAGGTGGGTGCCCAAAATGCTCTTTCCGATCCTTCACGAAGAAACATGCTGTCTTTTGCCACCGCGTGCACCATCGATTACAAGTATCACCTCAACATGACGGCCCTCTTTCTCACATCATCAATAAGCTACCCAAATCGAAACCAAATTCACCTTATGAATACAATTTTTAAGCAATCTATGGCCAATGGTGTGTACGAGGATACTTGCAGAACTTGATGAATACCATCATTCTGGTAGCAACACCCAACAATATCATGACGTTTCTCCAGTGGGGGGGAGGTTGTCTGGCTTTTATTAAATGGATCAATCCTCCTCCTCCTTCTGCTTCTGAAGCAGAGTAAGTGTACTAACTATATTCCCCCTCCTTGTTATATATTTTTGTTTTCTTCCTCTCACCGCTAGCTTGCTTCCCCTACTTAGCTTAGATGATACTACAACTTTCTCTCATTTACTTTCTATGTTAAAAGATACTTAGTGATAAGCAAACGGATGAACCTGGATCTATTCGCCAAGGTCTTGGTACAGCCGTAGATCCTACAGCTGTTGTGCTTGTGCTTGTGCTTTGCGCTTGATAAGTGGATCCGACCCCGGTAACCAATTGTCATTGCTTTGTCGATGTGGTTGTTCGGATGCTGCGGTAGTGGCCTCTTTTTCGAGCAGCTCATGCATCAAACTTGTCGCCTACGATGATGCCAGTTTGTTACTAGTTTGAGCATTGATTTGCACACTGAACTTCGACCGTTGTTGCTATATAATCAAGTTACAAAAGATATCATACACCGTTTAGCTGCCGCTGCTACAGTACTGATGTTTAATGAGGATTCCACGACGTTGATTTCGGGCGGTTTGCTCATGTATTTCCATTTCGCTTCAAGTATGTATTTAATAAAGTCGGAAGTACGTGTTCGCTCCGTGATGAAGATCACCCTCAGATCAATACAAGCATCAGTTGCATCAACCCTTTTGATGGGACTTACTAAGGCTGCATATAGTTTCTGTACGGAATCCACCCTCAACTTTTCCTAATGGCCATTAGCTTTAACCTGCTAAAACCCCCTTTGAGGTTAATCTTAAGGGGGGGACCGCAATGATGCATATCACCTTAAACCGACAAAATTTTTATGTTTTTTTGAAATCTTACTACTTACTTGGACACAAAGTCTTCCTACTTTTAACTTCACGAACCATATGAAGTAGCATCTTTAGAATATAATTCGTAGAAGAGATTCACGTAAATCGTTCTTATGAACACGCATAAGAGTTCCAAAGAAGAGGATGGTAAGCGAAGTCAGCCCCAAATTGCAACACTTGTCTGTCTATGTTACCATATACAGTTAGCCTTTTCCCTTTAATGGGAATAACCAACAACAATCATATAAATTTTGTTACTATCTCGCTATCTCTTATAGCTTATTGTGTTGAAGTTCGCTCACCCGTTGCTCTATCGGTATACTATCAGAGATACTAAAAGGATAGTCAAGTTTAGAGTAAAGTCATTTCAAGCCCTTTCAAGAGCAGTAAGTTCTAAAGGTTGGAGCATCTGCTGTCTTGTTTGTTTGTAACTTACATTGCGGATAATTTTCCCACAAAGGCCACGGTGACAGCAGCGAGCCAACGACCCCATGTGTGATAAAGCAACTCTAAAATGAATCAGATTAAGTAGGGTTACTAGGGACTAGAAGTCCGTGCAGCTCATATCATAAGCTTGTTATATGTGTATTCTCAAGACGAACGCGAGACTATATAGTCAAGAAAAATGATGAGAGGTGGGCCTGTTTGTTTAAGAAATCATTTTTTTTTGTATGAGTTTAAGAAATCATTATCTAAGTCTACAATGCGTCAGTGCCATGTACGGTACCAGGTTTAAGCCATTTGTGGAATCGGGACGTGAAGTATGAAATTGCAACAAAAGTCGGTTTAAGGTGATATGCATCTCTCTTGTCAAATTGGTCTGTGCTTTCTTTCGTACCCACTACCGGATCGTTCCATTTTTCGTTAAATTTTTAAGTGAGAATGCAAAATATCGTCTCCAACAACTATACAAATCCACGTCAGACCTCCCTTCCTAAAAGGACCATAAAGCGGTGTTTGTCATTCCCAAAGGTCGCTTCGCTGAATGATGGCACATCATTTTAATATGAAGCCGTCCAATACTCGCGCTTACGAAATGCTAGTGAGTTCGCCACAAGCAATAATAAGCAGTTTGTCAACAGCAATAATTCTACCTCTAAGGCCACTGTGAGCTTGGTTTATTTCAAGCAGTTTGTTTTAATTATAAAGGAGATCGCTGAGTGCGGCGTGAGTTTGTGCTGAATTGAGTAGTAATATTTTGAGAGTGCCATATTATAGCAAACAAATTAAAAATGCCAACAGTGTTGGTCAAGGATGACGGACATGAAGAACGGTGGAAAAGGTGGCTATGGCTACTGGCTTTTCACTCACTGATGTATGTACTGCGCATTACGCATGAATGTTGACAACAGATAAAACGGCTGTCACAACTGCGAACGCTTCGCCAGGCAGGCAGCGGTGTCATGCTGCTGGCGCAATAAGTATAGCTGCCCACTAAGGATGATGTCTGCTGTTCATCGTTCTTATGACCACGTGTAATATATAGAGAGCAAAGCAACCATACATGTATGGCATCGCTTATAATCCAGAGCATACTTATTATACCTAGCTGTCAGATGAAGCTAGTATCTGGTAAGCTTTATGACGATTAACTTTTTACCGAGGAAAGGAAAATGCACAGTAAAATTGAATAGTCTGAGCTTCCGGATTTATCAACAACTTGAATTACTTTACAGGAACAATGGTATCCGTATGATTTAGTAGTTGGGAATATAATGATGATAAGAGTAATAGTTTCTTTTGGATCAAAAAATGGTGCGGATATAGATGGAATATACAGAATAATGAGTTAGTTTTAGAAGAACAAGGAATAGAAGGAGAATGGAGCAGAAGATATGTGTGAGTGTGGGTGGGGTAGTGGGTCAAGGATTAAATGTCTAGCGGATGGGGTTTGATGGGTAGGTCGGATAAATGGGATGAGTTTATGGATGGATGGATGGCGGTTCTTCTCTTGCTAAATTCCGTTCGCTATGTCGATGGATACACGGGTCGCTCAGGACTTTTAACTTTTTCATTCAACATGACCAGCACGAGTGACGCCTTCACTACACCAGACCGCGATGCCTTCACGCAACTAGTTTATTTGATAAAATGTCAGCATTCTCTTCTGTCTCAACCATCCATCCAGGCGCTCTTTTTGTGAAATGTACTCTAACCTCGCGCTTCCAGAGCACACCGCGATACTGAAATGTCCAAAAGCTCCAATGACAAATCATGACGAGGCCGGCCACGGAGCTGACCAGCAGCAACTTGGCAACACTGTAAGGACGCAGCAGATAATGCAATGGGTAACCATCCATATTGGCCATGGCAATATAGACCAGTCCCCAAGCGCTACCGGCACCCAGCAACGTCCATATCCGATACACGATGATTTCGGTCTTGTACGATTCGAGTTGGCTTGTAAATTCCCACTGTAGCAGGCCCCATGCATGACGTCGCTCAAGTAACAGGGCCCAAAAGAAGGGTGTTGTTGGATCAACGTAGTTGAGTCGTTCGCTGAATACAAAGACGCCCAGTAGCCAGCCGGTCCAGTACAGCGTGGTGCCATAGACGATGCAGTAGCGTTCGATGAGAAGCCATTGGCGCCAATGTGCTATCAGGTGCGTCATGTGAAATACGAGGTTGGAGGCAATGAAAAACGGCGGGAAGGTATGTTCTTTGTTGGTGATCGTCGTCAGGGTATACAGAGATAAGAGGATGATGCAAGAAATCAATGCGTATGTGGCGGGGCTATATGAGATGCGACTACAAATACGCCGTATCGAGATTTTAGTTTCTTTATCTCTCATGCTTCCTTGCCTATCCTTATTTATTTTATGTAACTTACATGATACGTGTGCTTTGTAACAAGGTGGGTAGATCGTCATGTTCAGTACTAGCGTCGTGGTTATCGCCGTCGTCTTTTAGTTGTTCTTCTTCTTCCTCCTCCTCGTCATTTGGAAGCGGCGGCAGCGGTTTTTGTTGTTGCTCGGGGTAATGCTCATGCTGTTGGTGTTGTTGGTATTGCTGTTGATATAAATCGCCAAGCAAGGACGACGTTGACGAAAATGACGGCTTCTGATCGGAGTGGTAGCCTTCGTCGGAAAACGTGGACAGCGCCGACGTTGAAATGGACGAACGGATCGAGTAGCAAAAGGACGGTGGCCGTTCAGAATCTTCTCTCATTCACGGTACTTGAATGGTGGTTGCATTCGAAAGAATGAGAAAACAAAGAGGAAATGTAAACTTTACAAAAAAGTCGAAAGAGCGTTCTTTTCGTTTTTTCCTTTTTGGTTTAAAGGAAGCAAAAAAGTTTAGCACGTGAAAAAGAATTGTTATATCCAACATTACTCCCCCAAAAAAATACAAGTCTGTAACTGCTCCTTACGACTTCTTGTGTTGCATGCGAGAGAGAAAGAGGAAGGCCGAGCCGATATGGCAGCATGTTATTTTCATAAAACTTTCTTGTTTCCCATAGCCCGTGTTTTGCGTAACCCTCTCCTTCCATTTGAGCAACATAATGAATATACGCCTCTCTTGCAATTGTCTTCGTTCAAAGGTTCAGTCACTATGGCTACTTGGTGGGAAGGCAAATGGTTTGTTGACATGTAAACAATGGCTTCTGATTTCACGAGGAGCGATTCGCTATCAGTGCATGTCATGCTAGATGCTAGCATGTAGAAGAAGAACTCGCTTTTTCTTGTATGTGTGCGAGCACATCGAACTATGATTAATGAAAAGCTGGCCTTGCCTGTTTGCTCGTCTCCTCTTCTTCCGTCGATCAAAGGCCTCTGGGATTCATGACAGTAGTAGTTTGTTTATAAGTCAAGCTTTTTGTTGATGTTGATCCTAATACTTATTTGTGTGACGGATACAGTATGTATGCACTTAATATATCAAGGAAAGTAAGAAACCCAAATGCTTCTCACGTCTGTTTGTCTTTTGTCCGGTTGAAGGTTGTTTATACTATTGCGACTATGTATTATGTCTATTATGTGGCACTATCTACAGTATGTGCTTTATATACATCTCACGGAGAACAGTTCGGGCCAAGAAAAATGACCATCCCCGATGCTCTTGTTTTTCGTGTTCGTGCCTATCTGTCATGTGCAAAATATTCATTGCGCATCTGAAGATTATGTTACGGACCGACGATACGTATGGCCGCTGAGTATCACTGAAAAGTCTGACTATTATATAACATCGTAACAGTTGAGTAACGATGATAGCACACACTTGCCCGATCCATATGTTCTTATATTGGCACTGTTGTTTCGAAAAGAAAGTTTAAAAAAAGAGAGAAAAGGTGCATGTGATATAGTTCAAAGTAGAGGTTCCGAGCCTCGTGAAAGTTTGTTTGTTATATATAGTAACTTGCTTAGGGCACTATGTATACAATGTACAGATATCCAAATGTATGTACTTGTGACCATCCAATCCGTTTTTCTATGATGAGAGCTGGTACAGTATGTGATTTACATCAGGATTTGACACACTTGTCAAAAGTACAAATGTGACCTTGGCCTTTCTCTTTGCAATCAGCAGACATACTGTAGCTTGTTCAAGAATGCATAAGAACGAAATGACCAAGCTATGCAGCAACGTGTCGAATGAATACATACTATTGTTTCACAGTGTTTCTTCTGCTGTATACAAAAAGCGGCCACAGCAAGTGTACGCGTAAGAGTACGAACGGCTAACGTGCTCTACAGCTATATTACTGTAGAATTAGAAAGTTCTTGATATTGTAGTAGCAGAAGTAGTATATTATAGTGCTGAGAACACACTGTATACAACTGGAGGCATGTTTCCCTTTGTTAGTAAAATAATAATCAGCTGCTTCTTTAGACCTATTTCTCACTGTGTGATGGGGAATGATTTCTTGCAGAAGAGGTCCAAAAGAAGGGTAAAAGGATATGCTTGAAACAGTAGGCTCGTTACTAGAGCAACTTGCCATGGAGAACTGTCATGACTTCTAATGTCGCACTATAAGTATGTTCTTTTCTACATTCATCCAGTATAGCTTAGAATCATCATGATAACAGGTTCAATGTTTTTGCTTACGGGCACAGCAGGGTTGTAGTAATTACTAGACTCTCATTGTTGAGTATGTTTACTTGACAAAGAAACTACCGTTAGTGTGGGTATTTTGGTGTTCTCTATTAGTTGACATCATCTATCAACCATCAGCGAAGGAGAAGCTAATTGCCACTGCCGTCATTTTAATGCAGAAATGTGTCGATAACAACACATTTTGCCCTGATCAAAACACGTCATTTTTCAAATAGAACCAGAACTTATTACCAATGATTGAGCTTATATCGTTTTTCCGCTTGCTCCCTCGTGACCGAAAGACACATGTTCCGTCGCCAGGACTACTGCTACTAAATTGATGATCGACATTATTGATTAGGCTAATTATTGCATTTAATCTTTGAGGCAAGCCGCGTCCCAGATGGAAAAATGCTTGGCAACTCTGGACCTGTGGTTAATCGAGGTGGTGGGACATTGTAGGCATAGTCGACGTTGTGGCTGTGGATGACAATGATACTACTGTTGCTTATGAAGATGAAGATGGCTATGCAGCGGCTTTTGGACAGGGGCAGGAAGAACTATACAGCCATCCAATTATAGCACAATCGGATAAATGCTAACGCGCATAACATGATTACAGTAAGCGCGAAAAGACGACGATGCAATAGCAGGACCTGATAATCAATAAATTATTTTTAACTGTTGTTGTATCCAACATGATCAATAACACATACTCTTCAATCAGTCATTAACAATTGCTGTTATTTCCCTCATAACCTCACTTGTGCGGTCATTTCTTTATTCATATACATCTTGGTGAAACACCGATCAGCTATGCTCAGGAAGAAGTTGTCATTATTGGGATCACGTAATTCACATTAGCTACTATCTGAGGCATTTACTGTACCCGGATGTACCTTTTACTCACGCATCATACATTACTTAGTTCCTATATGATTGATTTATAACATCAATTCATCCGTTCAATGCACATGCTGCGGTAGTTGCCACGGATAAGCCATTTCTTATAAATAGTGAGAACTTCTGTTATCATAATAAACCAGTTTCAATTCCTTACGGTCTCGTTGACTTATTCTATCTCTTTTGGTTTATTGGATAATATTACAACTGTGCAAAGCCGTTCATCCAACATAAGGAGGTGCCATTGTCATTACAATACTGTATAATACGGTTCAAGAAGTTAAAGCCAATCCCCTCAATAATAATACAGTAGCATTAGACATGGAGATTCTATATGTGCATTGATTCAGATAAGATAGCGGCACGAAAAAGTGGGGTGAAAGAAGCACGTAAAAAAGGTAAAAAATAGAGATAGAAGAAAGAAAGCGAGGTTCTGTAATTATGATATCTGCTACTACTCCACAAGTGGTTGATGTTGGTCGAAACTACCAAGTTATTAACGCTAATACTGTTCTACCCAGCAGTACTGTGATGATTGAATATATTCGGCCATATGAATCCGATATCCCTCGGATCATACAGTACATAAAAATTTGATACCCCAAGACTAATTGTATATTACTGCACTCTTGTCATTCAAAACTAGCGTTTTTATATACTCGATGTAGCAAAACCACTAGTGAGATTAAAGAATATCTCAGAAATCTCAAAGTTCTTATTTTCTGTGCCAGTAATGCCCACTAGAAACTATTTTTACAAGGCCATCCTTCTTGGCCAACAACAGCCAAAATAACACGATTTGCGTCTACAAGCTACTGATTTTTGTGCTCATAACAAAAAATCGTCTTTCAACACTTTGTTGTGGGTATCTATCATTTGAATTTTCGTATGCTGTCGTTCTTCGTGTAGATCAGTTGGTATTTAAATTGTTCTTTCAAAGGAACGAAACAATGGGAATCTCAAAAAAGCTATATTGTAAGCTGCTTTTTGTGCTGATATTTTAGGGCTGTTGTAGAAGATGTTGGAGAGATGACGCGAAGCTATCAGCTTACCGCCATTCGTTTTAAGCCTTCAGACATGTCTCGATCGGTTTTATTGATTGGTCTAGGCTGTGTAGGTGCATCAGGCTTGCGTGTCCACCGGGTCGATGGATTGTGCAGCGAACAGAGTCAAAATAGTCAAGGCAGCGATACAATTCAGAAAAGAACCAGCTCTTTCCATTTGCGCGTTTCGTTATCTTTTTCTAGTCTCCCGCTACTGCACAAGTTAACCCTCCCTTTTTTTCAATCACGGGGAAAATATGTTTTTGGACTATAAAATAAGAATGTTCTCTGTATGGTATTCTTCGTACATAACATTAGGATGGTGCTGCCTGCCAAAACGTTTGGCAAAAAGCCGATTCCTAAGCATCTCATAGGAGTGGACATTACACATGTGAAGGCAATGATACATATAAAGGGCGGCTTAACTTCTGGCTCCACTATGAGTGGTTGAGTTTCGAAAGACGTGATAGTATTGAACGCTTAACTGAGTACTACGTCGAGTTCAGGCACGGCCCAAATAATTTGAGATTGAACAACAGTGAACGTTGCTGCTCAACTATCGAATTTGTCGTCATGGTCACGAAACTCATGTCATGGCAGCATACATGTCAAAGAAGGTATCGCGAAAAGAAACAAACTGCGATTCAAAGATTGTCAACGCACGGTCCTGTGTACAATGCATTGCGGCATAAAATGTTGTATCGGAGATCGTCGTCGGTGCTTTGTTCTTGGGGAGTCAGAACCAGACTTGGAAGATACAGGCAATTTTTTACGAATAAAGAAGAATGTAAGGCTCGTCGATACGTATATGTGGTAATGATAAGCTGGCGTGCTGTTGCTCGTGAATGCTGGTGTTGTGTTTGTTGTTACAATAAGCGGGGGTGTCAATCAAATGTTGAACGCATTCTTTTGCTCCAAGCGCTGCAGTGATGCAGCCTTGTGATTTGCACTGTGGTACTGATTATTTTTTATAGACAAAATATGAAAATATATGTACAAAAGAGACTTATTCAAGGTGGATTTATGTTTTTTTCTGTTTTTTGTTGGTGGTGGTAAAATAAAGCGACGGGGATATGTACAACTGTTTTGATGAACTTTGCTGAAAACTGTAGCCTGGTTCACTGCTCTTTTCTTGTGGCTCTTGATGCTTCTCGATTTGCTTTATGCTTTCAATAGCAATGGCCTATGATACCAAAAATTTAGTCACAAATAAATGGATAAGAATAATTACGATTAGCATGCGGTTTTATTTTATACACAGAACTGACCTTTGCTTTTAAAACAGTTTTCATCATATTGAATAGATCTGTAACAATCGAGGCAGCTTTGACTGGTATTTCATATTCATTCATATGAAGTAAGCGAGTTACATATCCAGCTGGTGAATCCATAATGGAAACCCTCAATCTTCTACCTATAGGTATATAAGCAGCCAATGTGAAAATTTGAAAAACGGATATAGTGCATCAAATAATGTATAACTTACTGTTTTCATTCAAAGCCACTATTTTTAGTTTTCGAGCAAGTGATTCGGCATTCTTTCCTTTAGTTAATGATTGACAAAACATGTCCTTCATTACTTTTGGTGTATGCAAATTGCATTCGACTAGCTCTTTTTTACTTTTGCCACCACAATCCTCCTTGTCAACTTCACCATTAACAACTTCAACACCATCATTCATAACCAGCAGATCAGGACGAACAGATCGATGCTGATCATCAATAGGTTTTGAGCCGCTGACTTCATGATCAGCATTAACACGAACAAATGTTGCCTTGGATGTTCGATCCCTATAGGTTACTACACAAAAAATTAGAAACAGTAATAATAATAAGTAATTTATTTTGCAAGATGAAAGAGAACCTCACTATCCTACAACACCAATATCATCAAAACATTTATCCAAATTGCTCCGAAATCCAATCACATAGTCCATTTCTGAACCATTGCTTGTGATTTCATTGATTTTGTGAAGTCAGTATAAATGAAGGTAGTCAAGGATGCTGCGTTGTATCCAGTCTTCATTGTAGCTTGTGCGAGGATTGTAAGGTCCCATGTATGCAACAGTTTCCCATAAAGCATCAATGATCTTTTCGTTTTTTTCTGCAGCATTCTCTTGGTTTTCGTCGTCGTCGTTGTCATCACCAATGATCCCAGCCACTGCTTCTTGGCATGCATCAAATATATGAGAGTTAACATAAATCTGATGATTACAAAAAATTCTTAATTTTTTTATCATCTATAATATTTATATAGTTAATATAAATAAATTTTATTATATAATTATAAGAAAAATAAAACAAATTGTTTTCTATTTCTGTTCCTCCTCCTCCTCCTCCTCAAAATAAATAACAATAACAATAATAACAATAAACCCTTAACAGGCTTTTTATGTTCTTATTTATGTATATTAAAAAACAATTAAAATCGTTGATTTTTATGTTTTTAATTATTATTTTTTAAATTTTATTTTAATCACATGATATTAATGATTACATAATCATTTATAATTATAATGTGAATATTTAAAATAAATAAAAAATTACAATTTTTGAAAGATTAAAAATATTATATATTTTTTACTTTCTGAAAAACATAATTTGTTTTACAAATAATTGTTTTTTAATATATATAAATAAGAACATAAAAATCCTGTTAAGGGTTTATTGTTATTATTGTTATTGTTATTTATTTTGAGGAGGAGGAACAGAAATAGAAAACAACTTGTTTTATTTTTCTTATAATCATATAATAAAATTTATTTATATTAACTATATAAATATTATAGATGATAAAAAAATTAAGAATTTTTTGTAATCATCAGATTTATGTTTAACTCTCTAGATGAATATTATAAGTATTCATCAATACTTCATGCTAATTTATATACAAAAGGTATTCCTTTTCTATAAGAGGTTTAATCAATAATTTATTTATTACAAAAAATTCTTAAACTTTTATCAATCACTAGATTATTAAGATTGTATATATCTTTTTATATTTATTTAAATATTAATTATGTCATAAATCTATTATGCCATAACACACTTCCACTTCTGCTATAATGTTCATTAGAAAGGTAAAGTAACACTTAACCCTTTCTAAATGAACAACAACAACAACAACAAACAACAACATTGACATGTTCTTGTTTTTTCCTAATGGTAGAAAATACTCAAAATTATTATTTTGATGTATTTTCAGAATATCAAAAATAAAAACTTTATTTTTTAGGTATTTAAAGAAAAGGATAAATACAAATATTTATCTCTTTTCTTAAAAAATAGTTTATTGATAGACATTACCCTGAAAGGGTTAAAAGCTTGTAGTAGCGAGCTAATTTCTATCTAATAAATCTATTTTTAGAAATAAAAATAATAAGGATAATAAAATTATCTCTTATTATTTTAATTTAAACTCAGAACATAAAATGTTCAAAAAAGAATATTCTATTCTTTTTGAGTTTAAATTTAAAAGTAGAAAAAACAAATTGTTTTTCTATTTTTTAAGAAAAGAGATAAATTTTTGTATTTATCCTTTTCTTTGAATATCTAAAAAATAAAGTTTTTATTTTTAATATTCTGAAAATACATCAAAATAATAATTTTGAGTATTTTCTACCATTAGAAAAAAACAAGAACATGTCAATGTTGTTGTTTGTTGTTGTTGTTGTTGTTTATTTAGAAAGGGTTAAGTGTTACTTTACCTTTCTAATGAACATTATAGCAGAAGTGGAAGTGTGTTATGGCATAATAGATTTATGACATAATTAATATTTAAATAAATATAAAAAGATATATACAATTTTAATAATCTAGTGATTAATAAAAGTTTAAGAATTTTTTATAATCACTAAATTATTGATTAAACCTCTATTGTGACTTGATTCAGGGAGGGCAGGAAGCAAGATATCACCGGAGCGATATAAATCCGTAATCTCATCTGAAGAAAAGATTCCATCCTAACAATCGTCAGCTGGATCTAAGATAAACGAATGCACGGCGCTACAAAAGTAACAGTAGAGTTAGCATAAAACTCAGACAATTCTGTAACCCTAAAAATACAGACTTACTGTTCATATTCGAAATCGAGACCACGCTGATACATGATATCTTCCATATAGCAGGCTGTTCACTACTTTATTAATTTTTTTATTTTTAATTTATTTTATATATTTAGTTATTAAGTTTTATTCTTAAATGATAGAAAATGATTAATATAATTAGGGGTGGTCAGATAAAATCTTTGATTTTTGATGACGTGGGTAGCTGGTCATTATGACGGTAGTCATAACCCTAGAATGATGGTAATCATTCCAAACACTTGTCTACAAGTGCCTTATAAACAGTGTTCATACACTTTTTCACCTTGAGTATTTTCTTTAGGTACCCATTTGTGACTGTTTTCCATGCTTTTAAATGCATCTTCGAATCCTTTCTTTGCTTCTTCAGTAAGCAGGCATGAATCGCTTTTTGAACTGTCTGAGGTGACATGAGTTCGTTTTGAGGCTGTTGATGATGCAGATGACGACGATGATGGACATAATGATGATGATGATGTTGTTTTTGTGATGGCTGCTGATAACGTTGAGCGTGCGGGCGCCTTCCCTTTTTGCTTGGTTGTTGTTATGGCGCAATTGTTATCATCGGCCTTCTGTAATGCATATGTTGTTAATGGATCAGATACACTTTTCTTTCTATAAACTATTGTTTGATATGGCTATGACTCACGTTGCAAAGTAGTGCTTGTAGGATCTCTGACCAATCAGGTTGCTTCTGTAAATTTTTCTTTTAGGAGTGATGTATTAGCCGTAAGATAATACATACATATCAGGGACGCGTTCTCTAGATACGTTTTACCAAGATTTTTTCTCTTCGAACAGCATCACAAAAGTCCTTTTTCCATATTTCAACAGGCGAGCTTCTACCTGTGTTTGCAATGAAGAAGTCTTTGTCGTGCAAATAGAAGCCTGCAAGACTTGGTTTTGCTGTTTCTTGGGAAAAGTACTCTCGAAAAGCTTTTCAAAAAGAGAAATGTATTAGAATTTCTGCATACATAATCACGACTTTATTTTTTCTATTACCTTTGGCCAGTAGAGGTTTGTCACTTGGGACTTTGTCACTTGACAAAGATTCTGGCATCTCGAAGAAAAGGTGAATATTGACAAGAGCTTCGCGTAGCAACCACCGGTTGCCATTGGCGAAATAGTAACTTGCTGCGGCGGTTTCAATTTCCGCCATCTCAAGTTGCGTCATCACCCTTCGTTACCGTTGCCCCAATTGCTCTTTCCTTACAGCATATTGTAATAACGCTGTGTGTCACTTGGAACTGTGAAGCATCCCCTTAGTGATTATACGCCCGCACAACCTCTTTGCAGTCTTAGTATTTAAACATCGGCTTCTTCTCCCTTTTCTCTTTGGCCATTTTTCAAACAAGGCTTTGGTTCAAACCACAATAAACAGAAGGGAATTGATATAGGCACGACAATTTATTTCCTTATATGTTCGGGGCATGACAAGCTCTAATAATAAATATGATATGTTACACAGAGCAGCATAATAGCTGACACTCTTGTGTTAATTATAGCAGATGGGTGGTGTCGTGCCCGTAAGAAGCACAGCGCGTATGTATTATGTAAGAAGACAATTCGATGACATATGTAGGTGGGATGTGTCGTGCCTGTAAGGAGGAAATTTTGAAGACGTATTAGTAAAAACTTGCCTTATTTGATTCTTCAGCACGTTTTTGTACAGGAGCGCCTCCACTATACTTAATATTTCATACATTCACAGCGCTACATAGAAAGGTTTTTCTCTTTGTATTTCTCTTTTATAATAATAAACCATAATATATATCTTCTCTAATTTTCCTCCACATAGATTTCCTTCGTCTCTCAATGGTTTTGATTTATACCGAATGCAGCTGTCAGCTTGATAACATACTTTTTCTTGACGTATAGTATAAACGTTTGCTGGGCAAATATTCATGAAACTTTCTCATATTCTATGTAGAAATAGTATAGAATATCCTATATCAAGTAATTTTACACTGTACTGCAGAATTCTTCGATTTATTAAAATCTGGCTGTGATCTATGAGCAAGTTTGAACAGAAGACTTATATATAAGCACAAGAAATCAATGCTTCTCAGGGCACGACGCGTCCCTCCTCACTGGGCTTGCAGGGGAATATCAAGGGGTAGAAAAAAGCTTGATATTATCTTGATATACAGCTTTATTATAAAATATCAAGATGTTTTCAAATACCTTGATATTCAGCTTTTCGAGTAAATATCAAGGTTTTTTTACACCTTGATACTTTTATGTGCATATAGTCCCCCAAGCTTATGATTTGATTACATCATACATGTAGATGTCTATAACGGTCTTACCATACATTGCATATGGACCAGGTGCCTTCTGTAGTAGGTTCGTAAAAAGAAGGAATACACATTGCATATTTTCGTTCTTTATATTACACATATAGTAAACGGACAAAGCATGCTATTGGTTTTTATATTCACGGTCTAATATATATATTATTATGGGTGTTCACAACCGTCTTTATTATTATATTTGTATAAAAAATCGAGTACAAGATTATGCTTTATAGAACATTAAAGAACGTCATCAAATGTAAGTCTACGTTATGTGATGATTTTAAAAGGAAGGCTGTAGTTGAAAAGAGCTAGTGCAAAGGACAGCGATCCTACTATGGAAAGATGCATGTTGAGTCAATTTATAAGTGAAAACAAAAACAGCGCAGAAGGAGATGTTCATAGACGATTTTGAAGATGACATACCTAAAAGATACATTGAAGATTGTTAGTGAAGAATCCAGAATGCATTATTCACAGGATGAAGGAGTTAAGACCGGCCGCGAAAGGAGAAGTTTGATATATAC